CCTGGTCGCGAGGCAACGCGGTACAACCGGGGTGACGTCACCAAGTAGTAACAGCGGTTACTTCCGCTAGCGCCAGGCAACAAGGGCGCCTATCACGTGGCCGTATTGTCCGATCGAGGCTACATAGGGAGCAGCGAGGGCTATTCACAGTTAGTTGTACTGAGTCAGCCAGTGAGTCCTGGAGCTACCGCCGAGTTAGCCAGCAACTAGTCAGTTGTATTGTGGCATTTGGAGTGTACTAATTGTGATACTGCAGATAGCAGTAATCGTAAATCTGTAATTTGGGTGATTGTATCAGTGAATGTGAAATAAAATTCGCTATATAAAATACGGCGTGAAGTTATCTGTCGCGATATACGCCCGATACGCGACAATATATAGACAGTATTTACATTGAAATAGTAAATACCCATAATATATTTGCAGAACCTCCACATCAAGATAGCCAGGTGGCACAATATCTGCCCCATATAAGAGAGACGATGGGAGGACGAACACGAGCCTGCATGGTTTACGAATTTTAATTACTGACAATCTAAAAAACTTTTAATTTTAATTAGCATCAAGGAATTTTATACAATTTTTTAAAACTTACATTCCCAGGAAACTGCTGTGTTTGTGAAATGTTCTATTCTGTGTACTGTGTGTTGTAACATATAAGTGTACGTACTTTGCATGTGAACAAATTATGTGATAGTGGTTTCCTATTTGTAGTGATGTTTGCCCTCTGAAGATGGTCCACAGAGACCTATACATGTAGGGTGTTAAGTTTTTATGTAGTAAAAAGCTTACAAGTCACATTGGACGAAGTGATTTATAATTTATAATTTGTAGCAGTATAGATATGGGATAAAGTATGGCCAGGCCAGGACCCCCCCCCCTTCTCCCTGCTACAAGCCCTTGTTGGTGTTTTGCCTCTTCTCCTACCAAATGCGCCCTTGAAATGGTCCCTTCAAGGATCACTGTTTCCTAATTCAGGCTCTCTTGGCTTCCTTCTATCACTCAGTGACTCACTCAGGTTAAGTATTTCTCCAATCTCTCCACTTTTTATGGGCCCCACTTCTTTCATCATATCCCTTACAAATACCGGTTCATTTGAGGCCCCACACTGTATCACTTTTTTAATATTTGGCTTACTCTTCCAACCTAAACATGGAGGTGGCACATTTCTCCAAAATTCCAGTAAACATCTATGAAATTACATGACATGACATCCCACATGACAGTACAGTTCATAATTACAGCCACAGGAACCTAATAACTGGGCATTTTGATACACACAAGAGACATCTGTATTATGTTGCTTATTCAACAACTTTATTAGGATAATTAAATTTAAATGCATAAGAAAGAATGCCATCTATAAAACTGTTCAGTAAGTTACTCATATAAGTGTACTGAATGAAGAGCCTTAAATATGTATTGCCATAACTCTAAAAATGTTATGTATATACAAAGATTTACATTTATCACAAATTTTGTACCACACAGGGCTTCTAGGTATGTTTCAATCATTCATTCATTTCATTCAATCATTCATTCATCAATGGCTTTACAGCCCTCTGCTGGACCCTGGCCTCTCCTTCAGTTTCACAATCTCTTTTACACAGACTCCTTGGACAAGTGATCAGTCTGCCGCAAGGCCACTACCTACACACAGAACAACATAAACACAGAATAAACACACACAACATCCATGCCTTGAGTGGGATTCGAACACACGATTCCAACATTTAAGCAAGCAAAGACAGTCCACGCCTTGGACTGCATGGCCACTGTGATCAGTACTTGACAGGCAAGATAATTTATATCACATCCTACAATTTAAATAAAATACGAATTTAGGGACAAGAATTCCTTCATGGCTAATATAAAAAGGTAAAACAAGGTAAAGTTGTCCCTGTGTTCAACAACTTAAGTGTTATTCCATGAAGGCAAATGGGGGAGTGGATGTATAGATTAATGAAGTCCTTTGACATCCCCCATAAAATCTGAATACAACATGTTGAACTACATGATAAAAGACACTTCACAACATGAACTGATCCCCACATTTAGAACAACATAAATGTCAGAATTCTGCTGTCATCTAATCCATTCATTTCTCAATGGCTCTACAGCCCTTGTTGAGCCCTGGCCGCATTTTCACTTTTGTAATCCTATACACAGTGTGNTCTTTTATTTATTATTTTGGGTAGATCGTTTATGCATAGTAAAAAAAAGGAGGGGTCAAGAATAGAGCCTTGTGGGACACCGCATTTAATTATCTCCCAATCAGATATATTATCACTACTACATTTGTTACTAAGTACTACTCTCTGCTGTCTGCTTGTTAAATAAGAATTGATTAATGACTTAAATGTCCCTGTAATTCCATAGAATTCAAGTTCATGCATTAATATTGTATGATTGACACAGTCAAATGCCTTTTGTAAATCACAAAATACGTCGCCTACTATTTTCTTGCTGTTCAGGGCTACGAGTATCTTATGAATTAATGTAAAGGTAGTTTTTTCAGTAGAAGAGTGGGATCTAAATCCATACTCTTCATCCACCAGAATATTGTTATTTTCAATATGTGTACTTAATCTATCATACACAAATCTTTCAAATACTTTTGAAAATGTGGTCAATAACGATATTGGTCTGTAATTTGTCATTTCCTGTCTATTACCTTTTTTGAAACTAGGCTTGCCTGTGGCATATATTAATCTATCCAGAAATTCTCCATAGCATTACAAATATGTGTCAATGGTGAGATTATAAATGGTGGACTTTATTTGATTATACTACTTGTTATTTCATCATATCCACTAGAATCCTTCGTTTTCAGTGATTTAATCATTTTTCACTACTTCATAAGTATTAGTGTACTTCCATTTCATTTTCATAAATGGTTTATTAAAATTATCTCGTATGTACATAATTGAATTATTTACAATAGACTTATATTTATATTATTATCAAGTCTCGTCGTTTCCGCTATAGATAAAAAGTAATTATTAAAAGTGTCTTCCATTTCCCTTTGATTCATAATTTGCTTATTATCAAGCTTGGATACCTATATCTTGTTTAGTGATTCCTTTTTCCTTATTTATTATTTTCCATGTACTTTTCATTTTATTGTCAGAATTACAGATAATTCTGTTATAATATAGTACTTTTGCCGCTGCAATCACTTTAGTTAATATTTTGCTGTACTGCTTCAAATATGATTTAAGATTAGTATCCTGATTATGCCTATACAGTAGAACTCTTCGTCGTTGGCAACCAAATAACAACGTACACAGTACTGCAGTAACAAAATAATTCATCCTTAGTCATATCCAATCATACATTAATTACCTGCATCAAATTACTTATGCCCAGAACAAAGCAAATAGCATCAAGGATGTTGGATTTTCCGCTACCATTTAATCCAGTTATAGCATTGAATTCCCGGTCGAATCCGTTTATCTCTGTTCGATTGCCATAAGATTTGAATCCGTCAAGCACCATAGATTTCAAATACATTTTTCTACGAGCATTCACCGACGTTCCTAACGCAAATGAATAACGCGGCGGTCACAGCATTCTGAGGATGCCGAGTCCGAAATTCCGATTCCGAAGCTTTCGGACTTAACCTCCCCTTGGCGTAGTAATATGTAACTGTCTAAGGCGTCTAAGGGAAGGTGTAAACAAAGGAACTCACGCCATCTCTACGCAAACGGCCCGAACTAGATAGTCAGACCCAATCACAATTCCACTATTGCAATATATCGAATCGCATTTTTCTGACCCAATCCCAGTACGCCTTTCGTAATTTATGGACTTTTGGTGGCGGTAGCTGGCGTCGGGTAGTTTGGTGAAAATAGTAGGTAGTTATCGCGAACGAACTGAAGTTGGCAAGTTTCGTGGTTGATTGGTAAGTATGGGATTTAATTTCATGTAGTGAACCAAGAGCTGACGTGTACTCTTTAAGTTACATCGCCATGTTATTTCTGTTTATGAGGGAATAGTAACGTAACTCTGTAGTTGGAGGAGTGTAGTGTAGTGACAGCCGTGTTATCTAAACAAAACAGCCAAATAAGTGGAAATTATTAAAAAGGAGAGCTGCATTAGCGAAATCAGAAGAGAGAAAACCCCGAGGAAGTGTTCGTAAAGGTGGGTCAGACGCCACAGAAAAAGTGTCAGGGAAGAGAGACAGCACATGGGTAAGTGCAAGAAAACCGATTTGAGAGAAAACGGAAGTGATGTATAGAACAGAAACTTAAAACCACAGGGGTCGCACACTATACACCAACATGATACAACATGATACCTACACCAGAAAATACAGAAACAGAAACATGTGACATCTGTCGGAAGGAAGTAAGTTAAAGACAACGACAACGCCATAGCGTGAAAATGCTGTGGCAGATGGCAGCACTGGGAATGCAGTGGACTAACCAAAGGCGAATTCGAGGCGTTCGAGACCAGGGGGGTGTAACTGCCATAGGGGAGAGGGAAACATGCAGACCAGCCATCTAAGAACATTTACATGAACTACGTAGTCTGGTAATGACTGGAATCGATCATTATACACCTATCGCATTCAATCGANTATGGAGAGCAACCTTCAGAAAAAAATCCGAGAAGAGCTAGTAAACACCCTACCCGCTGAACTGGAAAAGCTCAGAAACCCGGAACCAAGGGCGGAAAATACCGGAGCCACAAATCCCCCAGCAAAGCCGCAGAGGAACCATAACCGCAACGAAGGGGAAGAAACACAAGATGAAAACCCACCAAAAAAATCATACAGAGACAGCGTCATAATGGAAACAAGAAGAAAAAGAAATGCACCCCCACCTCCCAGGAAGGAAGCAACACTATATGGGGAAGAACTTCAAGCTGCAGTAAAAATGGCCTGACTCTTTGTAGGCAGGCTCAGAGAAGACACAATTAAGAATTATATCAGAAAGAGCGGGATAACAGAAGGAGTCGAATGTGAAGAAATACAAACTAGAGGAAGAAGCAAAGCCTTCTGACTGGGGCTCCGCTTCAATCGACTATCCGAAGTAGAAGCGCCAGAATTCTGGCCCAAAGGAGTGTGAGTTGAACGCTTTCGATTTCGCTCACGACCATTCCAAGATGTCGACCTCAATGCTTAAGGACTGCAATAATCAAGAAAAGACCAACAGCAAAAGAACATTGGATCTACTCCTGTGGAATGTGGAAGGATTAAAGTCAATAATGCAAAACGCCCTGGATACAATAACACAAAATCATGACATTATAGTATTAACTGAAACCTTTCTAACAGAATACGCAGCCATACCAGGATATTACACAACGCACAGTTATGCAGTCCAAAAACAAGAAGGCAGACCTAGCGGAGGAGTCTCATGTATTTATAACAACAAAATATGGGGAAAAATAGCAGAGTATAAAGAAGACAACATGGTACACATAACAACATACCTAGAAATGATAGGTATATATATTCCACACCAAACCAACATAGAAGATGCAATAGAGAAGATAGCAAGTGCAGTCAGTAGACTAGACCACAAAAAACCAGGCATACTCGCAGGGGATATAAACTGTAGAATTGATAAACCCGACAAAAAACCCCAAGAAGTTACAAAACTACTACAGGAAGAAGGATTCTGTCTAGTAAATAGAACAGATGTGATGACATACGTAGCGCCGAATGGATGCAGCTGTATTGACCTCGTGTTCAAGAAAGGAAACGAGATAGAAATAGAACAAAAAGTAAAAACATCATCAACTTCACCACTAAGGAAACACCTACCGGTAAGCACAAGATTCAAATATGGGGGCAAAGAACAGCAAACGAAAACAGAAACAAGCACCCCCAAAAAAAAACAAGAAGAATCCAAAAATACATACTGGGAAAACAAGAGGACATCATGCAAACAATAGAACAAAACGAAATCGACAATGCTGCATGGAAAATGACTGAAATACTGCAGAATGCTGCCCCAACAGCCAAAGAGAGGAAGGCCAAAATATGGTTCGATGCAGAATGTTACAATATGAGAAAAGCAACGATAAAGGCACTACACAGGGCAAGACAAACTCAGAATAGCAACGAATTAAAAGAATATGCAGAAAAAAGAAAAAGATACAAAGCAATGATAAAAAGCAAGAAAACGGAACACATCGAAAATGAAAGGAAAATGATAGCCGAAGAAGCCGAGAAAGACCCGTTCGTGGCAACCAAAACAACAAAGAAACAAATGCCACAAGAAGTAAATATAAAGATATGGGAACAACATTTCACCAAGATAGTTAGCCAAAATACACCCACCAACGGCTCCCGAACGGACGACGTCAGGGAATGTCAACCAATCTCACATGCAGAAGTATTAAAAGCTATAAAAAGAACACAAAACAAGAAAGCCGCAGGACCAGATGGAATATATTATGAACATATAAAAGAAGCAAAGGACATTATATCAAAACCACTAACGGGACTATACAACAGATGCCTCGAAACTGGATCCATACCACAAATTTGGAGAAAATCCCTGATGAAAGTACTGTACAAGGGAAAAGGAGACCCAGAAGACCCGAACAACTACCGAGGGGTAGCGTTAGAAAACATAATGTTCAAGATACTGACCAAAATCCTAACTGACTGTTTAACAACAACAGTAGACTCACTTATCCTGGAAAAACAATTTGGGTTTCGGCCACAAAGATCAACGATACAAGCCATCACAGCACTACTAGAAGCAATTGAAGAAGCATTAAGACATCCACGAGGAAAATACCATGTAGTTTTCATAGATTATAGCAAGGCATTCAACCTACTCGACAGGAGTATAATCACAGAAAAACTGAGGGAAATAGTAGGAGAAGAAGACACAACAACAAGACTAATAGGAGACATCCTCAGAAACAATAAAACCATAATAAAAGACACGGTGTCAGAATCCGAAGAAATAACCCAAACAAATGGCGTACTGCAAGGGGACCCCTCAGCCCATTACTATTCAATATTACAACAGCAGACTTGGCCAAAACAATGGAAAAACACACGGGTACAATTAATTATGTACGCAGACGATATGACAATTGGAGGAAAAGATATTGAGGAGCTACAGGAAGCCTCCACTGCACTGGAGAACTGGGCAAGACAAAACAAGCCACAAATAAATAAAAACAAAACTCAACTAATGACTTTCAGAAAAGGGGGAGAAAAAGGAAAAAATGATGAAATAAAATTTAATGGGGAACACATAAAATCAGTAAAACAGTATAAATATCTCAGCTTAAAGGCTCCCACACACAGACGCGATACTCAGCTCGGTACGGTACGGGACGATATCTAATTACATTGCGGTAAATGGAGGTCCGCACACTGGTGCGGGACTCCGAGGAACGCGATATTATCGCAGTCGGTGTATCGCCTCGGTATTTCGGTCTACTGAGCGCACTCGGTAGACCGCCCGGTATCGCAGCGGTAAATACTCATGGATCCGTCTTTGGAGGAAGAAGTTTTGCTTTTAGCTGTCACTCTTGGGTGAATCCCGGCAAGTATTTTACTGAACACTAAATCTGCGTAGTTCTTCTCCTCCACATATTCAGTATGTCACATATATGTACAAATATTTACAATTCCATAACGAGTCTTTAATTAAGTGCGTATAAGTGGTTGCTATGTATGTTCCTATTATAGGCGAAAGAGACAAATCACTTGGGTTCATGATATAAACTTGTCAAGAGAGGAACTGGGGGAGTTTTATACATTGATACCTCAACTCCTGAAGGATGAAAAACGGTTCTACATATATTTCAGGATGAATATTGACAGGTTTGATGAAATCCTGAGAGCCATCGGGCAAGAAGATGCCACTAAACAATATACCAATTGCCGGAGGCCTATTCTTGCCATTTAGTGGAGGATTTTTTTGAGACCCATAGAACTGAAAGGAGGAAATATAAAACACATTGTATCAGCAGCATGTTTGCTTCATAATTTCTAAGTCTAAAAAACTGTGATGAAGAGTACAGGGAAGAACTGCTACGAGTGGAGCCATTGGAAGGAGAAATGTTCCCTATCCAGCCTTTACGTCTCCCAAGGGCGGCAAACGTTAGCTATGCCATTAAAGAGCGGTTTGTTGCGTACTTCAACTAGATGA